TTTTTTTTTTTTTTTTTGGCACATTGATTTCGCTTTCTTGCAAAGTGATTTCAAAAAAATCTAAAAAAGTAGCAGACCATGGCCAATCACAATCGAGAATTGTTGATGGTCATATTATTAAATAAATTAGATCGAAGGGTTTTTCAACATTACCAGTGATTTAAGTCTATTCCTTCACTTTCTTAACTGAGAACGTTACAAACAGACATGGTCCTTGGAAAAGAAAACAGCAGAATCCCTATAATAATGATTACAAGAGCGTTCCTCAGCGCGACTCAATTCTCCTCCTTCCCTGACATTACCACCTCCCTTGCAAAATATCTTCTTGGCAACGGCCACAAATCCATCTCGGTAGTTTTGGCTTTGTAATGTRTAAAGTAATGGATTAATAGATGAGTGCAATGGCATCAAATATTTGATAACAACAGTCAACTTCTTCAGGTTTTGTAGTTGCTGTTTGCTGATCTTCTCGTGAAGACTAAAATTTAAGATCTGCAGAACACCGTAAGGTACAAACGCAATAAAGAATATAACGGTCACCGTAACCAGCAGCTTGACTAATTTTCTTTTGGCCACCAAATCTTCTGGAAGGGTTCCAGGGTTATTGGAATTCCAAATCGTATTACTAAAATATAATCCTGATATTATTTGCGAATAAGAGAAGGCAATAACGAGAAAGGGAATGATTGTCATGCTGAATACAATACAACCAACAGAAATAAGAAGGTCGTTTAAGTTCTGACCAGGCGTACACATCTGAGGAGACTGAGGGTCATACTTAATRTAGATTAACATTGGCAACGCCATCGCCATGGATACCACCCATATAACGATGATGACRTACAGTACATTATCAGTGGTTAGTCTGCGAGAGACTCTCATTGGCTTGACAAGCGCATTATATCTTTCCACGGAAAGCACAGTGAGGGTAAGGCCGGTAGCTAGAAGAGCCACGTTTGATAGTGTATTAGGAGCGATAACCTTACACATGAAGTTTGAAGCAACCACCACACTTCTCAAAGCCACGTGAATGGCAGTCAGAAGAAGAGTAACAATATCTGCAACCGCAACGTTCAACAGAAGAAAATTGGTTGTTGTTCTCATGGCGGGAATCATGCTAACAACCATGACAACGAAAGAGTTTCCAATGATTCCTAAACCAATGATGATAGATAAGATGACCAGTGATGCTGTGCCGTTATTTRTACTGTGAACCTGAGAAGTGGAAGTGGAGTTCCATGTGTTATTTACARTACTATCGTTAACAAGCATTGTTAAAGAAATCCTTCTTCTTAAAAGACGTTAGTTGAARGAAGAGAAGAAAGGATCTTTTTGGCCAACTAGCCGTTCTTTGACCACTTTGTTCTCTATGATACTCTCCAGTAACGATTATTATTCACCAAACAGTTTCCTTTGGTTAAATAAGATGATACTAAAAGAGATGGAGCAGAGGAAGTTTCTTTGATCAACCTGCTGCCGATCTGAGGAGACGGTGTTGAATGAATGAAGGGCACTCTATGATCATTGACTGCATCCTGTTGCAAGACAAACTGAAATTGGACTCGAGTCTTGTATATCACTGGATCTGAAAAAATTATTTAAATAATAAAATATTGTACAATTGTTTATTTAAATGTGGTTCACCATTTCTAATTGAATTGGTCAAATGTAGGATCACAAATAGATGTAAACTGATGTTATATAAAATATAGAAGAAACTAAATGGGAAATGGGAGAAAGAAGTATGTATAGGGAATTAGGAGGCGTATGTTTATGACGTACATAAAGGTTATGACAGACCTATTCATGTAAAGTTTACAATGCATGAATAAAATAAGGTAGAACTGTCAAGAAAAATAAACAAATTATCAAAGTACCCGAGAAAAAGGTATAATTAGTGTGAGATGGCTGTGATAGTACAATTATTCTTAACCGAAAAGTGAGCCGCAATTCGTTAAGTAAGCCCGGGGCAATCAAATCCAAAACAAATATAAAGAAGATAAATAATGACGTAAGTTGACTCCTTGATTCTTCCTGAACTTGAACAAACAAAAACCTTTGATTAACTTTGCAATATCTATAGACCATTATTGAAAGCGACAGCTTTGGTTGAAGCAAATGTCTCTCTGACAAACTGACACGTTTTCCTTTCATACTGCATTTACTTTAAAGATAACGCCACGATATGATGTTATGCACGATGAACAGATGGTCGAATTTCGGAAACGTTTTGCCATAACTATATTCATAATTTGAGGAGAACATATCGAGAAGGCTGTCCTGCACAAAAGAGATATAGTGATATATAGCATTCTTGGTAATCAGGGATTAGAAGATATCCAAATACATTATTTTTGTCTTTCTTTCCTTTTCTCTCTTTCTTTTTTATTTGCTTTCTTTCTTTATTCAATAATAAACAAAAATAAATGGGATATAGCAGTGGCATTTCTACAGAGTAGCTATTCATCCACTGTCATTCCAATGGGAATTTAGGAGTTGATTTTTGTGGAGGGAAGAAAGCCGGGGAACCCGGAAAACTCTCGAAGCACAGGAGAGAACCAACCGAAACAACTCTACTCACATACGACACCGAGCTCAGCGGGACTCGAACCCGGGTCGCACTGGTGAGAGGCGAGCACTATTCTCTTTTATTCGTTTAAGTTTAATGCCTGTCATGTTATACGTTTCATGGATATCTAAGAGTTTTTTCTTTTTAAATCTTTCGAAAAGCATATTATTATCGACTGTCACGAATTTCATCTTCTACTAAGTACTTTTCCCCGAACATTTTCAGCAAGACACCATCTATTGACAATATCCTCAAGGCTTAGCTCCCTCCCGTGCTGGGCTCAGCACTAACTCCACCACAAAGCTACATTGAATGCTACTTTATCAAAATTATATTTGCAATTTAAAATACCTTATCCAAGGAATGTGCCATGATATTTCAACCAACCTTAACTGTATCTGCATGATCTTTGTTCCTCTGATAGGCTGCTTGCTACTAGGCATTTGGAGGTAGACAGTTTCTAGGACATTCAGATCCAAGGGCGGATCCGGGGGGGAACGATGCTTTTTTTATATTGTTTTCCGTCGTTTTGAAGGAAGAAACTCAATTACACCCCCCCCTAAACTCAATTAGCCCCCCCCCCAATTTTGGCTGGATCCGCCCTTGAGATTGGAGAGCATTTTTTTTTCAGTTCAATTCTCCTTGCTGTTGTGGTAATTAGTGTACACTTTACCTTACTAAAGCAAAATCACTTAAAATCAATTGAACTCCCTCGTGACGTAAACGATAACAGTCAAATTCCAATAAGCCTTTTCATAGTTTAAGAATCGATTCTACTGCGCATGCAATTTTTTCCCGAATTTCTCACCTTCTTTTGTTTAATTAAGAACAAAAAAAGGTTTAGACAAAAGAAGGTGAGAAATTCGGGATAAAATCGCATGCGCAGTGGAATCGATTCTTAAACTATGAAAAGGCTAATTGACGTTTTAAACGGTACAGTAAATTAAAGTGTCCTTTTCTTTTCTAGTTTTTCAATATTCCATTGTTCTGTCGGATCTCTTATTGTTCCCATCTTTTCACCGGATACATATGAGACAGACAAAGAGCAAAACTCTTCAGTGACTTTATCAACATAATACATGTTACATCGATTCCAAAAATATACCTTTTACATTTGAGAGTGTTTTAAAATGTACTACATGTAGCAGCATGAATATATATTGGCATAAAGGACACRGAACGTGCGTGCCAATGTATATATACGTATATACAGCATTCAGAAACTCAAAGGAGACCGACAACATTTTCTTAATAGGTTCAAGACACTTGGGCACTACCTTTCCTTTGAGACAAATTACTTAGGAAAATTTAAAAGATATTGCTGTAGTTTTCAGCAATAGWTWTTCTTGTTYTAAGATATCAAGCAGTTTTGTATCGTTATACTGACATGCGGTAATGGACCATGAAGCTATAGACATCGAGAGAGTGAGGATGGAATAACAATGAGGCCTTATCCATTAAACAGTAGTAACATGAAATGATTTTAAGTGAGATTACAATAACTGCTTGAAAATGAATGGATAAATTGATTTACACTACACTTGAACAAAAAAAGAAAAAAAGAAAACCAAACAAACAAATAAATACTCCTCTAATATCTCTATAACATATAGAGATAATATAATGTTTAATTTATTATATATCTAATATCTCTATAGTAAGGTGTAGTCTTTCAAGGTGGACATCATTTGTTGGTTTGAATCAAAGCTATGATTAAACACAAGTACTTCAAGTAATACGACCGAGTATGTTGAGTCTAGTTCCAAGAGTTTCGTAACGTGATACCGAGAGTCCTGTCATGATTTTTWTTCCATATTATCAATGATCGTCATCATGAACTCTCAGAGCTCTACCTGGATCTTGTAGAGAATGATAAAGTACCGCCAACACTCTCATACACTTCCCGGCATCACAACACATCATAAAGGTGCCGGTTGTTTAACAATAAAGGTTTGGTTTACTTATCCTCCTTGGATTGAAAAAAAAGAAGGAAACTGAGTTTCTGCTTTCAATAATTAGTACTTAAATACTGATTTATTTACTAATAATAAAATGGGAAATCTCTGTGAAAAGTAAGGAATGGACAAATAATTGGAAATTTAATATTTTTAATATCGATATAGGATTTACCTTTTATATATTATGTATTGGTTTACGCATGCTTCTTTGAATTGCCCGCGAAAATTAAAATTCGAGTAGTGATATCCTTCCGAACGAACACCACATTTATATTGATCTACCTAAATCATTAAGGCAAATCAACCGCAAGATTTCCTATAATATATGAGATATTCTATCGAAATAAATGAAGGGAAGAAACCATATCTCGATATTCATAAGAGAACGGAACTTCGAAACAAGCCATTTACTTTGGCGCTTGACACATGTCGTTGATTTCTTTCAAAACCAATATACAAAGTTGTTGTAGATAAAGTTTGAAAAGGGTTATTTTCAAATGTAATTTATGTTTCTTCAAGCAATTTTTTTTTCGGAAAAAAAATTCCAAGCTCCGGTGGTTGTTGAGAGTTTAAGATTCTCGTTTACGGCAAACGTGAAACGTCAGTTGACCATTACAAAAATCTTTAAAATTAGTGAAAACGAATCGCAAAARAAGTAGTAAATAAAAATAAGTATATGTGTCTTTGCCGGGAAGGTTTGCAAAAGGTAAAGTGAAATGTAGGGAAACGATGAAAACGTGGTCACGTTTGCCGTTTGCGGGAAGGAAAAACGGGAATCTTAATCTGCCTAATACTAGGCTACCGGAGGCGTGACCAAAATCATTTATATTTGGAAATGACCATTTGACGCAACATACAATTTTATACAATTTTGTATAAACTTTATACTGTAAATATCTAAATAAATATGGCGAAATGAATAGATAAATAACAACCGGAACAGCCATTTCACGGTAACTTTGCATTTTCAAACAACGCCCCTTGGTTTCTAAAAACCCGCATTAAGCGATTTTTTTTTACTGTGAGAGTGTTCTTAATATGGATTGTGACAACGATTAACAAATATCGTTTGCAACATATTTCATTAGCTAAAAATGCTACTTACCTTTAAATTGATTATTTCTTATGCTGATTGAGTTGATTATGTTAACACGATTTTGCGGATAGGTCAGCGGTCAAGAGGAACTTCCTCGGCAACCTTGAGTATTGTTTGCTCTCTTGAAGTAAAAAAGAGAGACAAAGAAAGAAAAAAACAAATGTAAATCAATCGAAATCTTATTACGAATATCAACAATAAATTATCATTATGTTCTGTTAAAAGGTTTTTTTCATAAACGAAAATCTGAAACAGTCACCTTTATTTTTTTAAGTAAACTGGGGTAATTGCAGTCAGGATTAATTGTCCATCTCATTAATGACTATAGCTTAATGTGTTTAAATGACTGCGGATAAAATGCGCCGAGATGCACATAGAAAAGCTGCTCGCTGACTTAGTAGCTTCAGAGCGGTGTGAGAAAAAAACAAAATCGATCAAAAATATTTGTAATGAGTTTGTTCAAGTGGTTGACACAATGCAACAAAATCATCTATAAAGTTAGAATATTATTATTATTTTTATTATTAAATAAACATCTTTGTTATTTTTACAAGATAATAAAGATATATACTGGACAAGCTTAACCTTGGTAGTCTGAATGTTAGGTTAAGGACGGAGCATTAGATAGATGATGGGGGAGGGGGGGTTGCTTAAATCTAAAAAAGTATATCGAGCAAGCACTTAAACCTCAAAAAAAATATCGTGCAACCTCTTTTGCTAGAAGAAAAATATCTAACTGTACGCAAAAAAATAACGTGCAAGGGTTGAGCCAAAAAAATAATTATCATGCAACCAAAATTCCTGCAACTCCCCATCAATTATCTAATGGTTCATTCCTTAATTCGAAAGAGGTTTGTCCAAACAGACTTAAGACTACGCACATGGTTAACATACTGGACTTGCTAAATCCGTCACACAAAAATACGGCATTCAAGTGAATAAATTCTTATCCCTAAAGGTTATATTGCATAACACTAAGCCGCAGTTTTCAATCTAGTGTTTTTCTAGGCTTGCCGCGTGCTATGAAAGTAAATAACCAAATGTTGGTAGACATACGTACGATAATTACGCAGGAAAATCGAATATATTAGGAAAATAATGCCAACCTGAAGTATCGAATTCAAACACAGATGGGTGAAAATGAGTGAATGAAAATGGAAAAAAGAAAGCCAGTACCTTTCTTGGCCTCGTAAACAAATGTACAACTGCCGTCTGCAGTATCCAAAGCTGAGTAACTTATCCCTAACCTGAGTTTCTACAAATAGACATTATTATTCACGGAACACTTTTGTAGAGAATATGAATTCATCGAGCTCACGTCTCACGTCTGTCTGTGTTGGTTCCAGAACATCTACTACAAGACCTGGAATACCGAAATGCATGATGGACTAGGTTCGTGTGGGATGGTCAAACGATACCGTCTAATCCTCGGTGGTTTTTACCTCGGTTTGATTTTTACTCCTTTTCTTTTTCATTTCTTTTCTTTTCCTCTTTACACCTTTAATTATTATTTTCTTCTTTTATATCTTTCTCTTAAGAATCCGAAAAAGACAAGAAAGCCATTAAGGGGAATAAGATTAACAAAAACAAAGAAAGTAATTAGAGAATACGGTGAAGAGAATAGAGGAAGGAAGAAAGAAACAAATAACTTAAAACATGTAGTTTTGATAAGGAAGTATTTAGTTATGGCGAAAGGTCCACTTGTATGTTTAGCTAAACCAGATAACGAGTAAATACCAACAAATAGCTCACTAGACGCAACGACTTACTGTCATGACGCAAATTTCACATTGTATCAAACTGCCATCACAAAGCACGCCTATGGCTTACGTTAAAGTTACATTGGTTTTACTGACTTTTTTCTAGCTACTAAGCTGTAATATTTTCTTGCTCCGATTAAAATTGTTTCAGTCAAGGAAATAAGAAGCGGAAATAGAATAGTCCTATTACTTGAAAACATTTGACAATAATGGGTGAGTGTTGATGAATACTCCTTATTGCTATCTTCCATTATGAGACAATACCTTCCAATACTGTCACACGCAACCACACACACACACACACATACATATATTTATATTTAGGGAGTGACACGCTCACACAGGCATCGAAAATACCTGTAAATGGGAATTCAAATCCAATGTATTTCTGCGCATGAGATAATAAGACTTAGAATCTTCCAGTGGTTACTGCAGGTCACGATCTAATCAGAAATGCTATCACACTTAAAATGCAAACTTTGCCATTAATCTCGTACTAAATGAAAGAGTGACAGATTTTCTTTGCATCATCACCAAAAGCTATTAAGCTATAAGCTGCTGAACATAGCAAAAGACGTAGGAGTTCATAGAGATCTTTGCAACTTGAATCCACTTATTTTACCAAGAATTTATTGGCATTGGTTCAGACATCAATACAGAGAGACGAAAATCAACGGGCTTTGCCGAAAACAAATATTTTCATCCCGACGGCCATTGCAAATGAATCATTCAGCTATGGAATAATGAAATAATACTGAACTCAGAGATCTTGTCTAGGAGGTTTGTAATCCATGTCTGAATGAAAAGACGAAACGAAAACTAAGCTTTATCGGTGAATTGGCAGTTAATCCCTAAAACAAAGTCATTGGTTTAATACTAAGACATTGTAAATGTTGATTGTAAGGTTCCTTGATGTCCAAGGTGATTATTTTAGAAGAGTTCATTTATCATCAACTGATTCATCTTGCCTGGGGGACAAATGATAATCGCTCAGCTAACGCAATAAACTGAATCTCCTATTCAATTTGTTCCGTTGCTCGTCGGTTTGAAGTAAGAGAGAATTCTTTTCGTATTCAAGCAGTGAGCGCCAAAAACTATTTCTTGAAGAAAGGCTGTTGTACAAGGCTAAAATCTTGTTATTCAGAAAGCTTAACTTGTTTGGAAGTGGAGATGACCGATGAAAGTGAACATTGGCTTTTCCCAGAACATTGACACAGCACAGTAAATGCCGGAGTGAGAATGCAATAACCTCTGGGCCCCAGGGTATAATGACTATGGAACGAAATTTGATTTAAAAAAATAGACAATGTTAATAAACAAATTAATTTGGCATAAAATTTTTAATTTCATTATGGATTATGTATTTTTAATTAAGGGTTCGTTGTGACGCGTGTCGCAATATCGATTTACTAATGTAAATATCTACACGATATTTTTTAACATAATATTGTCTGCATTGAACTCAAAAAAAAAAACAAAAAAAAAAAAAATCACTTCAAATCATCTTTGGGTAGGTATTTCACAAAAGACGATATTTATAATAAACTATTGGATCCCAGTTTCGATTGCATTTTAGATGTCCTTGCAACTGAACTCGAGTCAAAAGTTTGTGGTTTTTCTTAAGTAAACCTGTGAACAAGTATATAGTGGTGCCTTTAACATATCAATAATATTTACCTATGTATTCTTTCTGCGGTTTCTTTAAACTCTTTCAAGATCAGAGACTAGGTGAACGTTTTCTACCAAGTTCCACTTGAAGCACATTCAATCGACAGAGATCTTAGTAAACTGCTTGAAACTAAAACCTCGTTAAGAAGATAATAACGATTCGGTGATGGTGTAACGTTTGATGATAGAACCAAGTAAATATGATAGATAGCTCACCCCCTTACTTACGTATATGGGGGATGTGAATTTTTCGTATCACGTTTAACACGAAACAAAAGGGAAAATCTGATCATCTGTCATAATCGATGGAAATGATTACAATACCTCAATAACAATTCTAACAATTTCATTCAATTATTCTACTCAATAAGATTGATCGGATTTTTATTTAGCTCAGGAAAAGACGTAATTTACGCTGTTTAGCACATCAAAGCTTTCTTTAACCAACGATTAACGAATCATCCATTCAGGCTTTTAAGTAATGATATATGGAGGTCAGAACGGAAACAATGATTCTACTGCTTCAGTAAAAACGTCACTTAATTGGTTTCTTAATCTATTCACCATAACGGAAGTAGCACACATCTAAATATATCTCAGCTGCAGATGATATTTTCCTGGCGTAGTTTAGTTTATCAACTGCACGCATCACTACCGCTGACCAGTCATTCAACACAATAACCACATTTAGCTTTTCTTTTGCTATGAAATAACTAATAGCTGATGTGCAGACATGTATTTTAAATGAATGCCTAAAAAAATTGATTGCCTTGTTTTAATTTCCTTTATTTTGAAAAGAAATGTTCTTCTAATTATTTGTCTTTCATGTAGTGTTCTGTTAGGGCTGAATGCTGAATAAGATGAGCTATAATGACGTAATCATTTGTTTGATAAGATATTATTGGGTTTGAGAGACAAACAATCTTAGGCACTTCTTAATTAATATGAGGGGGAAGATGAATGTTGAAGGATATTAAAAATATCCATCACAAATAGAACTGGAATACTTTATTCATTTATTTATTCATATTGTTTTTCATTTCTGATATTTGTGGTTTGACTATTTTTGAAAGCAGTCGAATGTCAAACTCTGTCATTATTTATTTTATGACAAAATATTTCGCTTTCCATTCCTCTCGAGTATAATCAAATTCAGTTTACGGCATGAAAATACAGCGCCAAGCCAAAAATTAAATATTGAAAAATTTCAATTAAAACTGAAGAAAGAAAAAACTGAAAATCTTAATAACTTGGTTAATTTTTTTTTTTCAGTTTTAAATTTATTTTACRTACGTCGATCAGTCAGAATTTTTTCAGTCTCAAAAGCCGGCAAAAACTCACTTTTGAGTTTTCGATGACAGATTCGAATGCCAAATTAGTAGTTGAAGGAAGGAGGAAAATCAGAGCTGAACCTTGAGAAAAACCCTTGAAGCACTGGAAACAACAAACAACACTACTCGCGTTGCTTTTTAAGTCCGTTATAAATATTGTATAGCAAAATATACAGATCATTCAATTTAGTAAAGTACTTTTTTGTGCTCGAGTATATGAGTCGAAGCGAGCCAATAAATTATGTCAAGTGGAAAGGAACTATAGAAAGAGCTTGATGAAGAAGTGAAGATTAGATAAGAAACATACGTGATCATAACTGTGACGGAAAAAAAAGAAAAAAACGGTACCACGCACCTGCTGTACTAGTGCACGGTTGACTGACTTTTACATGTAGAATATGCTAAAAGTAGTCATTGTTTTGCGATGAGATAAACACTAACAAGTTTTTCAATATTTTGAATGTCTCACCTCAGTTTATTTTTCTTGCTTTCCTCTTTTGCCTTTTCGTTCCTTGCAGTTCACAATCCCCCAAGGAAGAAAAGATTCCTAAATGAACTGAAGTATTCGGTGGTACTGATCAATAAATGATTCGGAAACGTGTGAGTTAAATATGCATATTAGTTTTATATGGAATAGAAAAACCTATTAATGCTATGGCGACGCACTTACACAAAAAGTATTAATAAGTAGTCTCATTATTGTGGTGAGCTTCAGACAAGCTGTTGGTAATAATAAGTGGTTTGCAGAATGAAAATATACGAGACATGGCCATAAAAAAATTGAATTCATAAATGTGCAGTCTAGAAAATAACAAAATTAGGTGTTTTGAAACCATTTGGAAGCAGCTGTGCATGGTCATTATTGATGTAATGTAATAATGAACCATTCTGACATGTTCAATGCCTTCTCGTCTCACAATAAGTAAAAAATGATATTAGACTTGTTGAACATTTATCTTGTTATTTATATATTATTGACTATTTTATTTTGGGTAATATTTGTGATATATCCTTCCTATACCACGTGATAATCCTAATATTCAGATGCTAGCATTTGATTGGATAATATTTATGAATATTAATTTTAATCAGATGATGTCATGTACGTAATACATTAATTATTAAGACATGACAGCGTATGATCCTAGACATAAAACAATCGACTTGTGTTGCATTGCCAAGAACTCTTCAAAGTTGAAATGAAGATCTTCTTTATTGGGGCGTTCTTGCACACTAACTCTAGCATCAAATCTTTTAAGTGTAGCGTTAAGACTAGAGATTTTATCATCGGCTGCTTTCTAGTTGGTTAATTATTGTTACTTTGATATTTGGCATTTTGGTAATTCCACAGTGGCTTCCTCATCCGCTGAATTCCAATAAGAATTTAGAAGCCGATATTTTCAGAGGGAGGCAAAACCGGAGAACCCGGAGAAAAACTCTAGAAATTCTCCCGATATTGACGTGATTGAGAGCCTTCAGCTGTGGTAGTTATGGTAGTCGTACGTGTGTTATTATTTTTAATTATAAAGCACATTTTGGATCCTATATATAAAGCATTATTATTACTATTATTATTTAGCAAGGCTAAAATGCATGTTGTGGCTTTGTGGTTGTTGTTGTGGTTGTTGTGGTGGTTGTTGTTGTGGTTGTTGTGGTGGTGGTGTTGTGGTTGTTGTTGGTG